TGTGTCATGAACAAGCTCCTTTTGATAGTGTTTTTGTTGTTGTTGTTTTGAGGTTTTGGGGCTTTGTTGGTGTTTTGTTTTTTCTTCGTTAAGACCACTGCAGCCTACATTTGGCCTTTTAATTCTTGCATTGGAAAACAGTGGTCCATCTGTGCCCGTGATGTTCGTGCCACTCATGATTACAGGCTTTGTCATACTCTTCAGTTACTCCTTCCTCATACTCATTGCCCTACAAAAGCTTTTCTAGTCTTTGGATGTCTCACTACGCTTCTTGAACCTTTTCTAGTTTCAGTATTTTCCCTGGGTTTTGTTGAGAGAAATAGACCACAACTGCTATTCAGTTTTATTCTGTGTGTGTTGGTAACTTGGAGCTCTTGGAGCTCTTTAAATTTCTTTGTAAATTCTGCTTAATTGTGTTATCAGATGCAATTCCCACGCAGCCAGGAGATTCGGGATTATGATACGTGATTCTCAAAAAACACATTATCACCACTGTTTGGTGGCAGCCAAGAAAAACACATCAAATGATAGAAATTTTTAGGAAAATAAATAGAATGTAACAGAAAACATGAAACAACAGCATAAACGTGATCACTCGTATCTTAGACATTGCGTAGAGTTCTAGTCTCCTCAAAAAAGGGTATATTAGAAGGATTCAACAAGGAAGAGTGAATGCATCGAAAGACTTTTGTCAACCCATCAGAGAGGGTTAAGACCCTTCAGGCTAGAAAAGAGGCATTTTGCTGAGGGAGGGAAGGGGGATGTCTTAGAGATGTCTGTGAAATGACACGTGGAGAGAGTGTAGGGCTCAACCACTTGCTCTTTTCTGACACACCAAGTGTCTGCACCATGTGAAGCGAGTGCATGCTGTCACAGCAAGAAGAGATAGTTATTCATAAAATGATTGATAAAATGAAGCTTCTTACCAGATGACGCTGTAGATTAAAAACTTCTATGGGAATTTAAGGGATACTGGACAAGTGTTTCTGAGAACTGCGTTCACAGAGTGAATCCCTTTGGATGCAAAAACAACTTCCTTAGTAGAAAATGGTTAAAGTCTGAGAGTATAGATTGGTGAGGTATTGCATGTATTCGCCTTACCTTAGTCCTTTTGAGGCAGTGGTTTTGGCTGTCTTCAGGATGGAATGACCAGTATCAACCCTTCAGGACACAAGGATAATTGTAACCAGCGCTTGACCTGAACTAGTACAGCTTTATCCTTAAACCATTTGCCATGGACATGAACAAAAAGTTATTCAGCCTTAATCCTTAAATGGAGCTGCCTCAGATCGGTGGCAGGTTGTCTGCAGACACAGCATGTGGATTCCTGTATATGATAACGAGCTCAAGCTTGAGCAGAGCGCAGTATCTTCCAGCTTTTGAGGCATCAGGGCACGTATCCGGCCTTTAGTAACCATTCCAGTCCCTCAGATCAGGAGTTGTTTACCTCCAGGCAGGTGGTTGGAGCCCCTTCCAGGTGATTTTCATTATGGTTGCACGCCATTGCCCAGCTTTTCTTGGTGTGTGCTACAAACACCATAGATGATGAGGTGCTTGTCTCAAAGACTGACTTGGGCAGCTTGGAAGAAATACAGACAGCTATATTTAACTCCATTTCATGCTCTCTGTCTTTAGATCCAAGTTACTCTAGAATGAGATCTTTTCTGAAGTTGCACATGTGCTTTTTATATTGTCAGTTAAAGATCTAAGGTGCCTACGATGTCCTCTTCCTCCCCCTTCCCAGCAGTGAACAGTGTGGCTTTCCAGTTGTATTTCTATTCCATGGCCTTTCAGCAGTCTCTCCTTTTCCCTCTAGCCAAGGGACATTTTATTACAATGAGATGACATCTTCAGGGTGCCACAAAAGAACGAGCATTGAAAACTGCTTTGTACACCTACCAGGTGGTATTTCCAAGTTGTGTGGGCATTTGGGGAGCCCTGCCTTACAGATAGGGGTTAGGCTGACGCAGCCTCTTTGGGAGAGAGATGTTAGAGTCACCTTTGGTGCGGTCTCTTGGTAAAAGTTCTGAAGCAGCAGTTGTGTACTTTACCAGGAGGGTATTTTTTGAGGTGGCTTTGTAAATATAGATCCCACCTCCTGCCTGCCTTTCCATGTATGAGAGGAGCTTCCTCTCGAGTAGTGCTGTGGATCTAGAAGGATCTAACTTCTGTAGCAAGCTGTTTGTTCTGTCTTTATGGGGTGAACAGTGGTGCAAGGGCATGTGGGGCACTTGTCTCAGCTCAGCTATGACTTCAGGTTTACAGACTCCTCTGGACAGGGGCACAGTTCCATTTGGGCATAGGGGCTATGCTCCTATGTGTGCATAGGGGCCGAGAATACTGTTTTTCAGGTGATCATAATTACAGGTGGAACAAATGTACTGGGGACCAAAGACTGTTAATTTTTCCTATAGCATTGACACTTGTGTTCCTTTTAACTTAAGGTGTTTTTTTCTTCTGTTTTAGAATTTGACTGTATAAGGTCAGAGTTCTCATACATGACAACTGGAAACTGTCATTAAGTAGATGCAGAATTCTTGTGTAGACGAGGCCTTGGAGTCTCCTGTGCTGCTATTATCTCTTTCAATTTTTTTTTTCTTTGAAGAGCTTTCAGTCTGTAGTGATGACATTTGCCTGAACAGTTCATCAGCTAATAAGAGAGAGATTGAGCTGTGCAGAGGGGAAGGGACTAAGGAGTCTGCAGGCACCTCCACCCCCTTCCTTCTGCCTGCTGCACTGTAGGCCATGTGGTGCAGTTGTAGTCACCTCACTTTTCCTGTCTTATGGATAGATCTGGCCCTTTAGAGACCAGTAGTATCCAAATTTGCCATTTTACTGTATGAACACAGTCCTGCCTGAAACAGTTCCTGTTCCACTGAATCTGTCCAAGCTTACCCCCTTTTTTCCTCCTTTCTTTTAGGCTAACTTTAATTTCACCATGAGCCTTATTTTCCTAAACTTCATGCACTGTTCTTGAGCTATTCTTGGAGATCTGATTTTTTTGTCATTTTGCTTTTTAATTGGGTGCATAATGCAATGCGTAAACTAAGAATTAATAGTAAAGAAGATCTGTCACTTTCCTACTTTTAAACCTTGTATTCATATTAGCACGAAGTTTTAGTGTAGGTAGAATGGCTGGATCAGCGCTGTATGTGTTACAAATGCTCTGAATCCCAGGGCATTCCTAAAACACAGCCCTGACCCCTTGTGTGGCTCTTGTAGGGAGTCTGCATGAGGACAGAGCACGGGCTGCTGATGAGGGACCCAGGGCCTGGGGCAAGCACAGATGGGTCAGTTGGAGCCCCAGCAGCCTTGGGAATTAAGAGTGTAAAGGTTCCCTCAGAGCCAGAGGCACTGTGGGTTTCTGTGCTTCTTCCCATCCTCCCCCAAATGTTTCAGGGTTGCTTCTGGACTTGAGAGCAGTGAACTGGAAGGGGTATAGAGGGGCTTTCAAACAGTAGAGCTGTCTCCCTTGAAGGATTTACAAGTCTTTTTCCTATAAACTCACTTTAATAGTCTTCTGATGTAGTTCTTAAGCACAAGAATGTTTTCATGCTAATGACCTAAGTCAGAATATGTGCATTCAGAAAAATATATTGAATTTTGGGGGTATTTGTAATAGATGTACAATATATTTCTACCATATGTTCTGAGTTACCTCTCCTTGCAACCTCACAGTTAATTACTGCTTAGTTCCTAAGGCTTTAATTTACAAACCAAAAGAAAGGCTATTAAAAAATAAACTGAAAAATTATTAATAGATAAAAGGTGTCTATGGGAGTATGCCTTTTTATATACTGAAACAATGGGAAATTCTTCATGAGCAATTTTATCTATGAGGGTTTCATTTCATGGGCATGGATTTAGTCCTTGCAAATGCCTTTGTGGCCTCACTGAACAGAAAATAAAGATTCCGGCTTTTGCCTTAGAAACTGAAACAGATGCAAAGTTGCAGCTCTTAAGTGTCAAGGTATAGATGTGTCCTTGCTTAGGGGATTATACCAAACCAGATTACTACACGTATCAGTCACTTAAAAAAAAAAAAAAAAGTTGTGAGTTAAGGAGTGATTTTAAGTTTTTGACATGTCCTAATGAAAATTAATTGTTGTATAGGGCCTAAAATGGATCATAGTGTTGTGTATTGTTAGAGCATTGGGGCTATAAACTGTATTATCTGTCTGAACTTGCAGTCATTTTTATTAAAAATACTTTAAATAATACATAATTTAATAATGTATTTCTTTTTAAAAATGGGGGGGGGGGGAATTATGATTTTGGTCTTACTAGGTAACTTGACTTCAAAATTCTCCTCTTGCTTGAGGCTAACACCATAGGTGGGTTTTTAGGCTCTGAATAATCCCCTGTTTTGCCAGCCTGGCCTGAGAAGCCAGCAAGTCAGTAAGCAATATTCTGGAAAAGCCAAGTGCTTCCCTCTTATCCCACGTAGGTGCACGCGGTGTCAGCAGAATGGCAGAGGAACTGTGTGAGTTACCTCACAGTGGCAGGTTACCGTATCCTTTCTCCAGCAAGCAGAGAGAAGCTGTTTTAGGAAACTTCATCTTGAAAGCTCTGCAGGAGTGGAAGGAAGGGTGGGAGGAGAGACTGGAGTTCTCATTGCAGTCCAGGGGACGGGGAGAAGAAAAACCCTGAGCGACTGTACTTGAAATGGCTCTCGTTTCAGGTGGCACACGGCTCTCAGTGGCTTCTGCATAAAGTCAGGCATACTCCTGGTTCCAGGTTCTGCTGAAGTCATTGCTTGTGTGCTGGTTCTGAGATGGGGTGCAGAGAAGATGGGTTTCTTCAGAGAAGAGTATTTCCCAGTTTTCTCCAGTAGTTTCCACGTGCTGGGTCTTTTCTGGCACTGTCGTTCCACGAGGTGGCACCGTCCCTTCTGGGGAGGACACAAACTCTGCTGCACTGCCTGGGGTCAGCAGGACTCAGGGACTCTGCGCAGCAGAACCAACATCAAGAGTTCTCTGGAAATGGCTGTACTTTTCCATTAGTATATACCATGTCTTTTTGATACAAGTCATGTCCAGGTTTTTACATGCAAAATGCACGAGTTTTCAGTGGAGTAGGGTTAGAAAAACATCTTTATGAGCTTCTTGCCTGCCTTTTTTTTTTTTTTTTTTAATGTTTCTGGCATTCAGAGGAATCTTTTTATGGCATGGAAGTTAAAGCCAGGTGATGCTGAGCTAGAATGCTAGTTTACTTCATTTTGAGTCAAAATTGTGTAACTTTGAGCATGGGGAGGAATGACCAGTAGCTATCATTATTTCTAGGAGAAAAGGGAATAATTTCTATGGGATTTTTCAAATCCACTAAAGGAGATTTTTTTCTGAAAGCTGACACATACAAGGTATATATGGATTCAGGAAACCAAGAACTGTAATGACAACTTCCCTGTAAGAATACAAACCAAATCTGTGTCGTACAGAAAGGGAACAGTGTTGCTACTGTTCCTGAATTCTCTGTGGAGGCATGTTATTTCCCATTGGCCTCTCACTGATTTAAGACCACCTAAGTAGAAGGAATATGTTTTCTTTTGTTAGGAAGTTCTTCTTTTTAGCTGCATTGTTGGTGGAAGTTGTTTTACCTCAGGAGAATATGCTGTTATTAAAAGCATTCATCATTGAAAAGGTTGATTTAATTAATTTTTTTTTTGGTTGACATCTAGAAAAATGGATGATGATGACGATGACATTCCCCAGCTTTCATCCCATACGTTGGCTGCCCTCCAGGAGTTCTATTTGGAACAGCAGCAGAGAGAGGGCATGAAGACCACCCAGGGGTTTAATCAATATTCCATTGGCTCAATAGAAGAAGATTGGGTAAGAAAGTATAAACCTGGATGAATGAAGCACAGATAGAGGAGTAGCCTTTACTGATTTTCTTTTGTGGATGGATAATGAAATGAAATTATAAAGGGGAACACTCAAGATGTTCCTATTCATGGATGGTAACACTGTAGGGAGATTTGTTTTACTATTTAATCTGAGTATAGTTGTCTGTTCTACATGTGGGCAGGGGGTACAAACTGAAAGTACATGGACAGGGCATAAAGCTGCTGTCAGAAACATCTGTCTCTTCTGGAAATTTTAACTCCACTTTGGCATGTGAAGGTAGTAAAGACTCCTCCCTGAGACTAACACAGTGTAACCAGATCAAGTGATCTTTCCTTTAATTTCATATTTCTCTCTGTGTTTTATTTCTTTGTTTTTGTGGATGGCTGTTTTACTGCTTGTTTTTACTTGTGACAGACTGACTTTTGATTTTTCTCTGGATTGTTTGTTTGTTTTTTTCTCTTCCTTTTCCTGATCCCCTCTGATTTAGCAGTTTTCTCCTTTATTTCCTTCCATACTGTCACTTTTTAAGTTCCTTTTTCTTCTTCTGCTAAAGTAACTCAAATTAAGAGCACATAAGTATTGTGCATCTGCACATGGGGTTTGAAATAGCCTTGTCAGTGGTTTGGATTACCTGGTTTTCCTGGCACTGCCATACACGCTTTGGAAACATGTGGTGTGAGCTACCTGGATTACAGAAGTAGAAAGACTGTCAGGAAAATAGTTACTTTTCCAGCTTTGCAGTTTGTGAACTGGGAAGTTGCTGTGGATTTTGGTTTTCTTCAGTTATGACTGACCACACCTCACTGTACATAGCACAGTCAGAAGATTTGATGTTGTTTGTCATTGTGCATCATTTCACAGCAACTGAGCCAGTTTTGGTACAGCGATGAAACTGCGTTGTGCCTGGCCAAGGAAGCAGTTGTGGCAGCTGGAGAAGGTGGCAGGTAGGTTTTAATAATGGTGTTGTAGATTTAACATGTCTTTTCTGTAAATACTTTGTGTCTACTACATAGACAGAGCATGCAGTTTAATTCATTACTCACTGTACTTCATCTTTGTTCATCTGCAGTATTGCAGAACTGCTTTGCTGTTACTTAGTTCATAGTTTATTCTGATCTTCCCACTTACCATTTTACTGAATGTTGTAGGCTGTGGAGGTTGAATAGGTAATGGCTTAAAGTTATTAAAGTAATTAGTTGTTAGAATGGAGAAAGAATAGCTTACATTTTGGGCACTAATATTTAAAATGTTTATCCCAAAGCAGCTGTGAGGACTGGTGTAGGGGTTTTGTCGCTCTTGTTTGCCTTTTAAATCAATATTCTAAGTTACTGTGTCTTTTTCAGGATAGCATGTGTTAGTGCACCGAGTGTGTACCAGAAACTGAAAGAACTGGATGGTAAAGATTTTTCAGTGTGTATACTTGAGTACGACAGAAGGTTTTCTGTATATGGAGAAGAATTTATCTTCTATGATTACAACCAGCCTTTGAACTTACCTGAATATCTCCTGCCACACAGTTTTGACATTGTAATAGCAGATCCACCCTATCTGTCTGAGGAATGTCTTCAGAAAACTGCAGAGACGATCAAATACTTGACAAAAGGAAAGATACTGCTTTGCACAGGTATAACTAATAAAAATATTAGGTCCCCATAAGGATCTTTTTCTCTCTCTCAAAAGACAGACTCACTCACGTGAGAGAAATACTAACTCTATAATACTAAATTATCATTAATTTAAGGGGCAATATGTATCCTAAGCTTCTTATTTGAATACGTGAGTTCAACCTTTGTTTGAAACTAGAGGCAAATGATTTTTAATAGGACTTTTAAAAGTCAGCTTTTTTTCTTATGGCATTACAAGTTTTACTGAATTTTTGAAGAATTATAAGATCATCCTACAAAGTTCCAGAAATATTTTTTCCTTGTAATTGCAATGGTTGAAGTCAGGGTATGGCAAAACATAGGTGCAACTTATTCTTGATATCCTAGGCACTGAAATACGTCAGGAGGAATTAAAAACCAGTGTTAAAACAGTGAAATTAAATAACAAGATAACTGTACTTGCAGGTCCTTCTTTATGAAGATGCACTTGCTGATTTAAGAAGTGATGTGTATCTGCCTTAGTCATGGCATTTCCTAAACTGTATTGTTATTACAAGACATCTGAAGACATCCAGGAAGCTTTTTCAAAAAGCAAAGGACAAAAGCTCTTTTTCCATACAACTTGAGGGAAGTCAACCAAGCAGGCAAAGTAAACAAAAAATTTAAACAATACATGGCCATAGAAAGTCTACTTTCTGGTTTAATTGCTCATGGCAGTCACGCACAAGGGTGGTTCTCCCTAAAATGGGTAGGTGGTCCTTCAGTTTACAGAGTTTGAGAAATACTGCTCAAGAAGTGATTTCTCAGTGCCTAGCTGCGGTTTATTTAAGTGGAAGAGTATACGTAATCTGTTTGCATTTCCCATGGCTCCCTACCGTTTAACTTCCTTGGTATGTAGCAAGAAGACTGAGTTCCAAGTTTCTTTTATGCATAAAGGGCACTGATACCCTCTGCCTATGTTTATGAAAGTTTTCGGAAATTCGTTTCCTTGGGGTGTCTTCCATTCTTTTAGATTTATTGTAAATTTCTCAGTAGATTAAGTTGTTAAGGGATGCTGACAGTGTAACTACTTTAAGCCTTCCTTCCTTAAAAAAAACCCAGGCTCTGTTTTTGTGTATTTGTGAGGAGCTACTAAAAAAACTCCAAACGTTCTGTTACTGTTTTTCTTATTGAATACCAATTATTTTTGCTGCAGGTGCTGTCATGGAGGAACAGGCAGCAAAGCATCTTGGTGTGAAGATGTGCAAGTTTATTCCAAAACACTCGAGAAATTTAGCCAATGAATTTCGATGTTATGTGAACTATACTTCTGGACTGGACTGATTCTCATAAGAAGATCTACAGCCTTTTCAGTCAAGCTGCTTTCTGTTTTTTATCAGTGACTCCACAGTTCTCAGTGCTGAAAATATTCAGCTCTGAGTACGATTTCCTGGGCTAGCTTTAATGAACATGTGCTTTAGCCTCTGTCTTTTAAGTGAGTAAGCATTTGCAGCTACTGTGTTTGTACCTTAAGTATTAGGTAAATGTGGACCAAACAGTGCATGGGCTGGATAGAAGTTCCTGGATAACAGGAGCTTCTCAGTCTGAGTTCAATTCTAACCAGTACCTTTTACAATTCAGAGACTTTTTTGAAGTGATTTTAGCTTATAACAACACATAGGTGCTTGCTTGGCAGACATCAGAATTGTCATTGCAAAAGAACTTGATACTTCTGTAGTAATGTTAGTCCATTAAATCTTGAATAATAATGGCTCTGATTAAATAAATTGCCTGCTTTTTAACAGATTTCAATATCAAACTAAAGATGATTTACAGGTATGTCAAGTTTATAGTTACAAAAACTGTTTGGTTTTTTCCAGTTGCCCACTTTTCTTTCTCTCCTGCTCCACGGTCAGCAGCAGAGCAGCAGAACAGAATCCTCTTAGAAATCCCTGAATCTTACAAGGCCACTGAGGAGTAATTTAATGTATTGATAAACTCCCACTGTTTCAAATGGAAGATTTTATATACAAGGTTTGGACTATATTTCAATCAAAGTAGGTGACACATTAGAAAAATTTTGCTTTCAGGTGGTAGACATTTTTGGTAACTGGGAATTTTTAAAGTTGGTTTTGACTAACTACACTACTAATGTATTTTTGGGTGAAAGTTGGTTCATAAATTCCAAGGCACTCAACAGTTTATAATCTATAAATACACCATACAAAACACAAGTAATTGTCTTTATATGCCATATTGTGTAAAAGGCTAACAGAAATGCTGCATCTACAAAATGTATCACCTAAAATGAAGAATGGAGAAATTTGTTTTGCAGTGGGAATAAACCTAATTAAACTTGTGAGACAGGACCATTTTATAAATAAATAATGGCCAGTCTTCGCGAGCGAAGATCCGGGGAAGGTCTTTACACCTTCCAGCCTGCGCATTGGATTTTTTAGGTGAGACACAGTGTGCGCGGAACTGAGCCCACCCTTTAATCCTAAGGTTCATCTGCCGGGGCCAAGCGAGCTTGGACGGTGGCAGCGAGGTCCTTAGGATGTAGGTGGGCTAACGAGCCCCACCTGCCTGGGAGTGGCCCTGACCGGGAATCGAACCCGGGTCTCGGTGGTGATAGCGCGGCGCCTTTACCACTAGACCACCAGGGGCTCATGGACCGTTTTATAAGGTAGAGGTAACACACATGTTTCTGTGCATTTCTGCTGTTTGCATGCGGATTTTCCCATCTGGTTGAGTAAACAACTGAGCAGGAATAATGTAGACGGAATATAATCCTCTCTCAGTGCTCAGAGTATCGTGCTGCCTGAGCTGGGCACAACAGTGGTTCATAAATACCCATCCAAGCCACTGTAGCTCTCTTCCCCATTTTCCAAGAAATCTGTTTACTTCCTAAGGCTTTTCCCTCCTCACACTTTACACCTGCTGTTCCTGAGTTTCATTTTAACAGTTTTCTTACTCTTTTGTGGCCTTGGCTTCTGTCAGACAGGTAACAGGTTTGTGAAACAAGAGAAGTGCAGCAGAGGCAGTGCTTGCAGGAGAACAGGCACCAAACTCTTCTTTCTAACAGTCTCTGTGAGCCCATGGCCAAATACAGTCATGCCTTTCAAACCAGAAGCCATCCTTGCTGCTGAGCCAGGATCCCCCCTGAAAATGCCTGTCCACAGGTGACATACAGCTGGGTTTAGCTGTTTTCCTGGAGGCTTCACCATCACTTTTATGTGGCCAGTTTAAAAAAAAAAGCAAAGCAGAGTGTTAACTGCGTGGCTATTGGCACAAGTCTGTACTTCACAATTGTAAACTGGTTTATTACCAAGCAGATGGAGACAATGAAGGAACTCATGAAACTTTGTTTATAACTGTGTGGAGGTTTCAAGGAGGGCAGGTATTGGGAACAGATTGGCAGAAGGGAGGATATTCTTCCCCTGCCATCCACCTAAATTAGAATGTGCTGTTCAAATTGAAGCTTCACCTATGTTGCTGCTTTGCTATTAATTCCTTCAGTTGTTTGCTTTATTTTGGTAAATGTGTGTTGCTGGGCTCTCTACGGCAGAATCAAAGGACGATTTTGCTAACTTCATCAGAGACCTTACTTAAAAAAAATAAAACTGCACCGTTCAGTTATACCAAGAAATTCACTTCCAAGAAAATAACTGCTGCTTCTCAAATGTAGGTCAGACAGCTTTGAAAAGAGTCACTGTGAAGATGCACAGTTATGAAAATGAGAGTACATATAAATCTGTGCAGATGCACTCAAACAGAGCAGCCTGTTGTCCACCACCTTCCCTCTTAAAAGCCTGGTGAGTGCAGGCAGCTGCCGAAGCAGAGCTTGACTGGTGGCACTTACAGACTTCATCAGTGATGGAAGGTAAACTATTTTTTGTCCAAATGATTCCAAGGCAAGAATTATTTCTAAGAAGGTACAAGTCACAAAAATTCATAGTGAATTTGTGCTTTGTGCCATCATGGTAACATTAAGAAATACTATGTGACAACAAAATCTCTCTTCTGTACTAGGATTATGAATAAAAACATCAGTGTCAAGTAGTGATTGATTTTCCTTACTGGTGATGTCTCATGGATGGACTTTTAGTTGGAGCAGACTTTGGTAGAGTGTTAGCACCATGCTGCTTTTCCAGTGGCGTTTATCACTAGAGAGTCCTGTGCTACAGCCACTTACCTTCAGTAATGGGCACTGTGCCCATTACCTCTCAGTGCCCTGCTGTTGGTATGGCTGGGACACTTGGCAGAGAAAATGTGCTTGTGCACAGGCTAGTTGCTGTAGGGGAAGAGAATACACTGCAGCTGCCTGCATCTCACCCCAGATGAGAAATGAAATGTTTCTGGAAATGCAGTTGCATGAGGTCCAAGGTACTGCTGCCAATTTCTGCACTTCTGTTAAAAATGTCACCCTCAGCTCTGGTGTTGCACAGGTAGCCCATCTCTACCACACACACAGTTGCTTCCACCCCCGTGCCCGTGCCTGTGCCCCTCCGGACCAGAGCAACTGGGAGGTATCTCTGATGGTTGGTTTGGTCACTCTGTTACCTGCACGGAGCAGCCCCAGTGCCATGCGCTGAGATGGGAAACAGGGCAGCTGGGTTCGGGTAGCAGAAGCCCCTCATCAGCCGATGTCAGAGCTGTGCTGATTTTCTGGGTCTGCTCACGTTCTGCAGCCCCCTTAGACTGGAGTACAGCAAAACCAAGTGGTAGCTCATGCCACCAAAACACGTGGGATTGACTGGATCTCCCTCGTGCCCTAGTCCAGGTATATATGGCTGTTCCCTAATGCCAGTGAGATTAATGGGGTTTCATGCTTTGTGAGCACATCACAGCCTTTTTCCCTTTTCCTCTCTTGGCTTTTGTGTTTGTGTTCCCCCATGCAATTCCATGTTCACTTGCAGCTGTAGATCTCCATCTATTCAGACAAACACCTTCAGGTAATGACTGGTGAGAAAACCAAGACTAGCATCTCAGGCTTTTCTCAGCCTTCCTGAATGATAGGAATGTTCCAACCTATCTTAAGCAATACTATAGAGAAGAAAATAATCTCTTTACCAAGGATATTGTTCTGTGTTTTGTGGCTTCTAATGTATTCCAGGGACAACCTCATTGAAGGAAAAGATTTTCCTGGCACAACAAAAAATTTTCTCAAATCAGCTGCAGCTGCCAGATAGTTCCAGCTTTGAATTGTTTGCATTTATTGGGGCTGGAGTTGGTTCAGTGAGGCATTTCATGCCTGCCTTCTGTCAAGAGTTTGTGAAGCCTTGAAGCAACTCCAATGAACCCTCCCTCCCCCCATGCAAATTAAAGGCAAGGCTGCAGCAGCTGTAACCAGAGGGCTAGAAGCTGGAAAATGTCACACCACATTTGAAGTGAAACCGATATAAATCCATGATGTGATGACCTCATTAAAAAAAAAAACAATTCCAAACAAATGCAAACTACATTTAATACTCAACCTTTTCAACATGAGTAATGTGGAGAGAAAGAATAGATGGAAGGGTATTTTGAAGATCAACAAATGTTTATGTAGATAATAGTTCTTGACATTAAGTATTAACAAACAGTTGTTCACTAACAAACTATCAAACAGTTGCTCGTGCTAAAACATAAACACAGATTTTGAGAGACACCTAACTGGAAAGCTGGATCAGGAGGCAAAGTGGCTCAGCTAAAAAGTCTGTCACAGAAGAGGGTAAAGATTAAAGAAGGAAAACGGGCTTCTGAACAAGATAACATGAAGATGCTTGTAACCACGGGAAGTTTCCTGCACTTGCTGCAGTGTGACAAGAAGGTTGCCGCCAACATACTCATTCTATTGATCCACTGAGATTTTGCAGTTCTGTAGTACTTTCTGTCATCCAGTTTCTGTAGCTCTATGTAAGCCAAAGCATTTGTTTTACTGGATGGATTGGAGAAACTGATCATGTTCCATTTACCTGATCTTAGTTTGCAACTCCCAGAAATTCCAAGAACATGCTCTAGTTACTTGAAAACCTCAAAATTACTCCAATAAATTAATCCTTGCAGCACAAGAATTGCAACAAAAAAGAGAGATTTTTTTTTTTCCTCCACATCATGCAAATATATCCATGTGCTCTCATAACTAATTAGTTGCAGACAAATTTGTATAAGAAAAGCGTGTGGGCAGATAGATGAGTTCTGATGGAGGGCAGTGTTTAGCCAGAGTTTTAGCTGGTAGCCCCTCTGAGTATTTACTACATGTTAAATGCTGCATGGTTTGACATTTTGTTGTTGTTGTTTGGGGTCATTTTGCTGCCTTTTATGGTGAAGACTTCGCTTTCTATGCTGTGGAGTCTGAAGGTCCATCTTCACCCTGCCTGAAGTGTGTGTGGAGAAAAACCTCACAAACCCTAAGATGACAGGCTGCAGAAACATCATCCAATGAAATGTTTCTCCAGTTTTGTGGGTCTGTCTCCCTTTTGAGCCCCTCTGATTACCATTTCCCTCTGCTTAGAGGGTGAGAAGTTCTTCCACGTTAGGAGGAAGGAAAAGTGGTTGTAACTGCTGCAAGTATTTACATTCTCTAGGGAACAGGTAACTACCTCTAATTACTGGCCGCAGCTAGGCAATTAGCTGTTCTCTGAGTAGTATAAACACTTTATGACCTTGTTTGAACTCTCCTTTGAGGATTCCCTTGAGATAAAAGCATCACAATTTGAGGAAACACAGATCTAAAGACACGTAGCATTGAGGAGAAGCATCTGCACAAAAGACACAGTTACAATCTTCAATCTGACATCATGAAGTGAATCTTTTATTCATTAAGCTATTTTAGGCTTTGTACGAAGTTACACAAATTGCATTGTAAAAATACTGTTATGCTAGACTGGGTCATAGAGAGCACAGTCCATAACTGTGCACCAAGATAAGTAGTTGTCGTATGACTTCCATTCTCTGTTTAACTTGTTAATTCTGATTAGCTTGTACTCTTGCCCTTCTTCATCCAACAACACTCCAAAGAAGTGTGTGTTTGTGTAGTGTAGGGGTTCGTTCTCTCCACTATGAATTAAAGGCCAGTTTTGAGATTCTTGAAGTAGCAAATGCATTGCTGCATGTGATGTCTATTCTGTAAAAATATTGCAGTCAAGGTCATTCAACAGTAAAAAGATAACTCTCTGCTGTGCATTCAGAAGTTGATCAGTTTTGGCAAGTGTGGCCCTCTGAGGAATTATGTTTGTGCAAGGCATGCCTGGTTGTTCCTGATTCTTACTCACTAAACTGAGTCAACATTCAGTCTCTTGTTCTGGAAATGCAAATTTTTGTGTATCCAGGGTTTCCAGTAGTAAGCTGCACAGATGGAAGATGGTGCTTCCGCAG